GGCAGCGCTCGCAAATGAAACTCAAAAAGGTAGGCAATCGACTATGAGCAAGTTGTGCGTATGTGCCTGGCTTGCAAATCGACATACCCATCCCCGCATTCTTTCGGCGCCTTCGAGACGCACGGCACCGTGTCACAGTGTGTCCGACTACCAAATTTGGCGTTCGCAGTCGCGCTAACCACACAGCTCGCCGTGCACTGTGCAATCCGGCTGCCTGGCACGGCACACGCTATGTGCAGTGCGGCACGGAGGGAGTTATGGGCGGCTAATGGCTCACGCACCGTGTGCGGAGGTGGTGGCGGCGGCACGGGTCCATTATCGCGGCTCCGGCGGCCGTCGGCGCCCGTCCGGTACCGCTGTCAGGGAAGGATCGGACACCCCCGGCACCCCGGCGCCGCCGAGTCCGTGCAGAGCAACACGCGCGCGTTATGGGCGGCTGGTGCGACAGGGACGCTTTATGGGGGTGTCGACGGCTGCACGCGTGCCGCCAGCCGCGTGATTGGGTAATTAGTACCGATGGGTGGTACGATGTGGGAAGGTGGTCCCGTTGTGATAGGCAGGGGAAACCCGCTGCGCCGGCCAAGGAGGCGTGGTGAGAAACCGGCCACTAACGGCCGCTGGACTGCTCGGGCAATATCAACGAAACGCGGCAAAAACTCACACGAAAAAGAGATAAGTCGATAAATAAATTAATGAGTAGGTAAGGATAACATGAATAGTTTGTTTTACGAATATCGGGTCATTCCGTTGATCGGTAGCTCACTCCCATGACAGAGTTTAAAAAGTGTAGGATATGCTTATCTGTCCGAGAGCGCAGGCGTTGTTCACATTACGCATACATATTGATTGCATAACAAATGTTTGTCAGCCGGTGCACAATTGTCCGTTTTGAATGCACTCTGCTTTCTCTGGAGCATAGCAAGCTAGCCAGCAGTGCAGCAATTCATTGCGCTGCCAATGTGAGCGTAGCGTACACAATCAAAGTGGTGAGTCAACACACAACCGGCAGCTGTTGATTCTCAGTCTGAAGCGAGCTGAATCACCGGGTAAAGAAGGACCGCTGGCGCACGGTAACCGGCATGGTAAACAGACGGTCGACATAATATACACACATTACACAGCACTTGTATTCACATTTGAGCCGTGGCGGCTTGACCTGGGGAATGATGGGGAATGATGGGCCTCTAAAGTTACCCGGAGTATTGCAGGTTCGCTCTGCTCAGTATGACGTACCTCTGAGTATCCCCTCCCCCGGCGCGCCGATTACCCTCGGTAATGATGACGTACAGTGTGTCTAAAAAGAATGTTCCGTCGCCACTACGTGGCGCTGGTGTCGCCAGCCGGTAGTTGGCTGAATCCGCACCAGACCACACATTCCCAAAGCGCTAGGTGACAGCTGCGCAGCGGCCGGTAGTAGCGTAAGCCCGAACCTTCGTGACACGACCCCGGGGGGGGGGAGG